GCGCATTGAATGATTTGAAAAACTTCTGGAAAAAGCTCAGTGACTTGCAAAAATGTGCACAACAATGAAACATTGTTGGCAGAACACCTTCCTCTCGGACACCCATTTGATATTTGGATATGATTGTAAAATGTTTAGTTCAAAGGACATGCTAGTTTTAAATCACCACACACATTGAGAAACAAGCATAATTATAAATGGAATTGATTTTGAAAGTTGATGCGGTCGCATGGTTGTTCGTTAGTATTCACCATAAAGTTTTAGTTCAACAATTTTATCACATATTACACTATGTTGCTGTCATGATGTTTTTTTATTTTTTTATTTTTTATTTATTTATTTGTGTGTGCGTGTGCGTGCGTGTGTGTGTGTGTGCGCGTGCGTGCGTGCGTGCGTGCGTGTGTGTGTTAATTTACTCCACCATGAGCCAGGTTGCCGATATCGGGCACGTAATATCGTAAGCTGGTTCCCACCTCCCTTTGCGCGGGGCCCTGCTTAATAATATCGGAATTAGGTGCGTGACGTTATGGAACGTTTGTGATGTAACCTCGAAATGACGTCATATATTTAACATCATCCTTGAAATGACGTTGCATCAGTGGCGGCAACACTTTGACCATTGTTCACTGAGCAGACACCGTCCTTTCGAATACGATAAAGAAACAAGGCCAGTTAATTAGAAAACAAAAAAAAAAATATTCTAATCAAAGCATGAGTCGAGCAAACTATATTGAGAAACTGATAGTACTAAAAATAAAACAGAATGCGACATGAAGATACAAAGCAAATGACATCTTGAAATTGAATTTATCATCCAAAACTCTGTTCCACAGGACATGTCGCTTGTGTGAGATCATATGATATCTCCTAGGAGATATCGTTTTGACAGTAGATTTTGTACAATGCCCTGACAATGCTATGACGTCATCAACTTGATGACGTCACAATGCTATGACATCGCTGCACGGCTAATCTAATGGTAGTACAGTGTTGAGAGATGTACATTTTTCATTGAAAGGTAATGAAGAATGATTTTTGATGATAAACAGAATCTCACCCTCGTGTCTACTGATATCAATTATATCAACACTCGTTGATAAAGGTAAAAATATCCTCGGCAAGCCTCGGATATTTGTAACTTTTTCAACTCGTGTTGATATAATTGATATCAGTAGACACTTGGGTGAGATTCTCTATACACCTCAGTTGAAATAAGTACGAATGATACTGTATTCGTGTGTAGAGGCAAACTGAAGTATGGGACAATAATGAAACAAGAAATGATAATTTCAGTAATAAGTAATAAGTGAAAAACATATCACGCCTCGACCAATATCGGGCATCAAAAACAAGTTGTATGATGATATGATATAGATATCTAATGTCTACATGTTAGCTTCTGTGGTGAATTCGTCTTCCAATCGCTGTTTGCAAGCAAGGGTGGTTATAGTTCTGATGCAAATTATTAAATTCAAATTGACGTCAATATTAGGGGAATGTTTGAATGACTAAACATATAATCCCCCGTGTATGTCGCTTACGTAAAGTGTGGTCACAGGTCGTTAACACGAGCGTGAAGGTAAATAGAAAATACTACACGAGGTCTCATTACATACGAATTATACGAAACGAGTGTCCTTCCTATGGTATCTGACCGAGCGAAAGCGAGGTCAGAAACCATAGGAAGGTCACGAGTTTCGTATAATTCGTATGTTATGAGACAGACTGTGGTATTTTATTTATTACCCACGTCTTACATGCGTTAAATTGCGAAAATAGCGTATTTTTGTTATTTTTATTGTTTCAAACCGAAACCGGTTTCATAAAGAGGTTGCGGAAGAATGTTGTTCTGTAGTACACTTTTTGCATGACGTCACACTGTAATGACGTCACTACGCCTTGCTCGTCTGCCCCCTTGGTAACCGACGTCACGATTCCTCCTCGTACAGCCTCCTACATTAAACTACTCCGTAGCACCCTGTTTCTTAGTTTGCAGTTGCTTCACTCGGCTAACATCACTGGTGGAAACTTTATGTTTTTCGACAGATATAATGTCTCAGTTCGACTCATTCGTCACCACTCGCCTCTTTCCGTAACCTCCAAGAAGACTCGTCCCCCTATCGATGCTTGTTATGTGCCAAAATACGACAAACCAATCAGAACGCGCGTAAATGACTGCGGTGCTTTGGTAAAAATAATCCCGAGTACTTAAATCGTTTATGGCATTATGGCATTGTTTAAAAAATCATGAAAAATATATATCGCCATATTGAAAGTACAAAGAACTTAGCTAACAGGATTTTGCTGCCGATTATGAAGTTTTTGATAAGAACCATGCGATTGACAGTGAGAGATTCAAATACACACGTGCGTTTGTTGACATAACGACTCTCATGGGTCCAGCTGAGGGTATTTCGGACGATCTTGCGGGCTTGCTATGGAGATTGTACGTGCACTTCCAACAATTTCAGGAAATGCTATTATTAATCGCTACGAATTTCCAAACAATAATATTAGACATAGGGGCACGAGTCGCCGCTATTCGGCTTGTCCCGGAATAACACGAGTTGGTCACGAATGAGTTCGACTCCCAATTAAACTTCGATACGGCAACGTTTGCTATGTTTACATTGCCACAATGCATTTAAGTTGTAGAATGAATGAATTCACGTGTTTCTTATGAATGAAAATGTAGTTCCGGCACAACGTGACCTAATTGAGAGGTCATCGGTTATCCAATCAAATCGTTAGAATCTCTGGTCAAGTCGTTACGACACAGATCAACGCGATACGACACTCGTGTGACGTACGAGATTAGTATGCAACTACCCATACGTTGACCACGTGGGTAATAAAACTGGATATCTCCTTGGATAAATAAGTCAACGTTTAATACACCAATTATAATTTTAGACCTCAAATAATGATTGGCTTGACAATGAAAGGCCATGGAATTATTTGCAATCTTTTTATTATAATGGCGTAAATGGTTGGTTTGTTGTTTAATGCCGCACTCAGCAATATTCCAGCTATATGGCGACGTCTGTAAATAATCGAATCTCGACCAGACAATCCAATGATCAACAGCATGAGCATCGATCTACGAAATTGGGATACGATGACATGTGTCAAGCCAGTCAGCGAGCCTGACCACCCAATCCCGTTAATCGAATCTTACGACAAGCACGAGTTCCTGAAGATCAATTGTAACCAGGATCTTCACGGGTTTATGGCGTAAATGAATAAGGAATAACAGCCCATGCGTCGCTACAGTGTTTTGCAGTGAAAGACCAAGGCAAGAGGATGTCATTTTAGGCCATAGGACCAGAGACCATATAATAGACAAGTATTTCGTAGATTTGGAAAAGTTGCGCATGCGCAAATGAGCTCAGACATGGCAATTTCACATTCGTCACCACTCGCCTCGTTCCGTAACCCCCAAGAAGATCGCTATTCGGCTTGTCCCGGAATAACACGAGTTGGTCACGAATGGGCAATTTCAGTCCGAGTGTTTTTGTGATGCAGGTGCTACGTTTTGTACATGCTGGTCGAGTAACTTTGATTTTTATCAGTATTTGGGATATAGTTCTAATGGCAAATGCTGCTGTTGCCTTATAAAATGCAAGCATATACAGTATTTTCACGGCACTCAAGTGTATTTGATTGACCTGAACTGAGGAAAACTTTTTCAAATCTTTTCAAAAAGTGTCAGATGTTTTCATTTATACGATCATATCAATGGCGAGATTTGGAATCACAACTCTAAATGCCCTGGCTTAATGTTTTATATTGTCTGTTTGTTGTTGAACGCCGCACTCAGCAATATTCCATCTATATTGCGGTCTGTAAACAATCCAGACTTGTGTCAACCAAGTCAGAGAGCCTGACCACCCGATCCCGTTAGTCACCTCTAACGAAAAAATATTGTAAAACGTGACTCTCCAATCACATTGTCATTAATATTACTTGGAAGTCCTGATATGACCATTCAACAGAATGAATACGTTTTCAAATGTGTGCAAACTTTCATTCATCAATCAAAACGTTTTGAGTGATCACATGAGTTGTGTCCCTTCCCTTCTTCTCTCATAAACTTTCCTATCTCTTCTCTCTATTCTTCCTAAGATGTATATAATTGAAATTGTATGTATGTATATATTAAGGAGCGGGTATTTTAAGTTGGATAACTTGTCCCCAATCCCTTTCACATTTGTGAATAAAATATGTTTTAAAAAAGACACTCTTACGACAAGATAGCTTATCTTCGTCGTATCGACCCGTGAAGATCTGGGGTAGAATAGGTCTTCAGCAACCCTTCTTGTTATAAAAGGCTACTATGCTTGTCGTAAAAGGCGACTAAAGGGATCGGGTGGTCAGGCTCGCTGACTTGGTTGACACATGTCATCGGTTCCCAATTGCGCAGATCGATGCTCATGCTGTTGATCACTGGATTGTCTGGTCCAGACTCGATTATTTACAGACCGCCGCCATATCGCTGGAATATTGCTGAGTGCGGCGTAAAACTAAACTCACTCACTCACTCTTCGTCGTATCCCAATTGAGTAGACTGATGTTTATGCTGTTGATCACTGCCACCACTACGACCGCCGCCATATAGCTGGAGTAAGGCTGAGCCCGGCGTTAAAAAACAAACTAACAAACAATTCTGGCACATAACTACATCACTAATTATGGCATGAATTAAAGAATTATATCACATGTGGTATTGTTACATAATTTAACACTTGAAGCTACATTCTTCAAATTACATTCCTGATTATCAAAACACTTCCTAGTTCTTGATAATCCCCAGAAAGCTTCACTCGCCCTTGATCAGTGCGCAACATACTGCTATGTTCCAGACGCTCTGAATGCAGCCTGGCCTGGCGCCATTATCAACAGATTCGTTACCTCCACCCCCCTAGATTCCCTCCCCATCCCCCCTCGCTGATCTATTCCTGTACCATCTTCCCCCGGTGTTTCTGAAACCTGATGCCACAGGAACTCCTAACTGCAGCCGCCATTCCTCGAGAGGTAGCGTACCTGTCTGGGGGCAGGCTTCTCCGTCCGCTGATAACACGAGGCACAGGTAGCCAAGAAAACCTCTCTTTTATCACAGAAATATCTCCAGAATGTAAAACACGCCACCCTTGGTGCTACAGATAGATGTCGGGACTGTTAGACCGAGGCTGGTGTATCCAGAACCGGCGTTGAGCCCTGCGGTGAGCCGTTCCGGTGGTGTGCCTACCCCTTACATCCGGGTTCTTCTGAGGAGACGAGAACATTCTTAAAGTTGTCTAACTGCGTCATGAGAAGATGAAGCGAATATGCATATCTAAAAGTAAGTTGAGTTGCATCACAGTATTGAAAAGTAACACTTGTACTAAATATATAAGTAATTTACGTTTAATATGAACGCTGTGTATCGCTCAGTATCTTTACTGGTAATGTATGCTCTCTCTCTCTCCCTCCCTCCCTCCCTCTCTCTCTCTCTCTCCTCCCTCCCTCTCTCTCTCTCTCTCTCCCTCCCTCCCTCCCTCTCTCTCTCTCTTTCTCTCTCTCTCTCTCTCTCTCTCTCTCTCTCTCTCTCTCTCTCTCTCTCTCTCTCTCTCTCTCTCTCGTGTTGTTCAGCTATTAATCACCGTATTATGTGACAGACTAGTATGTTGGACTATGTATAACACCTCTCTGACGCTGAACACTCATATACCTACACGTGTAAGCAAGCGGGCCGGTGTTCCTATTACCTACTCGCTTACGTTCAACCTTTGTTGTATTTTCAGATATTCCTGTGATATATTTGGCTTGCTGGCGGCAGACGCTGCCTTGAGGAGTATGACGCTCTGAAACTCTCGTTTCACAGGAATGGATGCGGTTCAAGGTAAACACATCATAACACTATAACGGGGTTAAACATTTCACGTCAAGGTACATGCAAGATATTGTGTTTCGTTATAACGAGTCAGTTTGGAAAGCTGATGCTCTGTTTTCATTGGTAGATACATTAAACCGGTGTATGGCAATATAATCTTTGGTTACCAAACTCGAAAAAACATGTTGTTCTTTGAAAGAGATACAGATGTTGAAGAGGATGGTTACCTCATCATTGACTAACAATAATAATTCGCTCGTATGGGAAACTGACAGCGATAAAGACTGGGTTACCATCTTCACCAAACGTTTGAACAGCGGCCATTTTGACCTTGCGATCACCAGAATTCAAATGCGTGTACAAACACCTGGTTAATACCCATGTTGAAAATGATGGTACTTCGTGCAGGAATGACCTCGTTAAATGAACTCGAACTTGATTGTAGATTACTCAGTTCTCTAAATGACTGTTATCCTATTTTCTGGCGTGAAGTTAAATTTGAAAGCTAATTTATCGATAACTGCAAGAAAGCCTTGCAATTCGGAGCTGTATTCTCAAAAGGAATTCCCCTTGACCTCGTGCCAGTGCACCAGCATGCAACATGGGGAACAATGTCTATAAATAGCACCGGGAACTCCCATTTATCGTGGGTTCAAGAATTACGAGAGCCCATGTAATGAACTGTCTCTGTACAAACACATACGGTAATAGTGTATAGCTGATACACGTCATACCTTCATACAGGGCTGGCTTACACTGCCGTCATGTTATCTACCTGTCATAGAGTAAACCATTTCAATAAGTTTCTTAAAACTTCAGATATTCAAACGACGTAATTGTTTCAATACATGTCCAAAGTGCACCGAAATTCTATTTCTTTTGTCTGTTTAATGCGTTCAGCAAACATTCGGTGTAGCCCTCTTATCATAAACCCCCCTCCGGGCAGGACCTTTAACCCTTAATGCTGTCAGTGAATGCCAATTAACACCTCCCTACGTCGGCGGATCTTACGTATGTACATGTGCATAGGTCAGTGACCTTGCACAACATGGCGTAATGTCTCTATCTATGAAACTTGACTGACATGATGAGTCAGGGAGACGGTCTCTAGGAGACTGGCCCATATCAAAAGTGGACGGATTGTGCGGCTAGTCGTGGCGTCGGCCAAGGCCGTCGCCTCACCAACGACTACGTCGACAATGAAGAATCGCATCCGACTTCTGCATGTGTGTAAGTGACAGAGCGGGTCTCGGCACCGGGAACACTTGGTCCCGATGTGCGTTAAGTCACGTGTTTACCATCAACTTGTACCATTTCAACCATTATTCACCCAACTATAATAAATATAGCTGCTGTCGCATTCGGTTGTCCACCCTCCCGAACAACCACTCCGAACGGCCTACTGTATCATTGCCCGGTGTGAAGTCATTGAGCTCCTTTACGAAAATGTGGAAAAAAAAGTAACATTATAGATTTTTATTTTTTGAAATGGCAGTTGCAAGTTTGTATTTCTGATATTGGCGAAATCGTCTTTTTACTGAAAATACTAGCTGCAACCAATAGTAGCCTTCGTTTTCGTTAGATTCTGTTCACATTAATTTTGCTGTGGACTTATTTTTCTGTAAAAACGTTAACTTTCTCAATATATTTACCTTTGATGTTATAATCAGGTCGCGCAACAAGAAGCGTCAAGCGTATTGTGATTTGTTCAATATCTGTGATAATATCTGTTGATACTCCCCAGGCAACATCCAATCCGTTATTATAAGTCGCCATTCATCCCATGAAGATTGGCTCGGTCGTGGTGGTAGGCTGTGTACAGCACGAGTTGTGCCCCTTGTGATGAAAAAGCGATATCCAATCACATTGCGGTTCATATTTCGAATGGCTTCACAGAGATACCTACCATTACAGAAGACCGTGTATGTCAGATAACGAAAATATTCGAGATTCTATCCCTGATGAACAAAATGACTGATTACAACAGTAAAGATATTTGTTGCAGTGGCGCTCTTACAGTAATAGAGTCTCCCCGACTACACGGTATCAGGTAGCACTACACATCTCCGCAACATAGAACACTCAGAATTGGTCGTCTACTATAGACTGACTGACTGACTGAGTTTAGTTTTACGCCGCTTTTAGCAATATTCCAGCAATATCACGGTGGGGGACACCAGAAATGGGCTTAACACATTGTGCCCATGTGGGGAATCGAACCCGGGTCTTCGGCGTGACGAGCCAACGCTTTAACCACTAGGCTACCCCACCGCCCCCGTCTACTATAGAAATGCATCTCAGTAATTACGATAAGTCTTCAGTAGTTAGAGTTAAAATAACGTGAAGTTTGGGATACTTTGGTCGGGCATATATGAATGTGCTTGAGCGAATTCATTGTTGGCTTTGAACAACTTAGAAAATATTTGTTGTCGCAAAATATTTTTCATAATTTCAGTGCAATTTCGACAGACGATGACTGTGTTCAAATTAGCGGCTATGTTTTCGGAAACCGAATGTTGTTTTGTACAACGTTGTCTAATTTAACGTTGGTCATTGTTTGAGCGAGCATGTTTTTACTCAGAAAAGTCAGCTGGAAATTAAAAACTTTTGCCTCTAGAAGTTGCTCTAAAAAGGCGCATTGCTTTAAGGGAGAATAACTTCGAATTTGTAAGAACTGTTTTGCAAAAACGTGTAACGCAAGGGGCGCTTTCAGACTAGATACGAGACTTTCATTACAAATGAGTGAGTGAGTATGATTTTAAGCCGCTTTTAACAATATACCAGCAATATGACGGCGGGGGACACCAGGAATGGGCTTCACACATTTTACCCATCATTACAAATGAGATGCACAAATAATATGAATAATCCTTGAATGTTATAAGGCGACAGTAAAATCCACCATCTTCTTGTTATGACTGTCATATATTAATGTGTTCAAAGTTTGTATGAATTTAGTTTAACTGAATTAGAATATTAGTAATATCTTATCGTAAGGTATTTCTTAACTATTTTATCTTTCAGCATCTCAGTTTGGAGAACGACTGACGTCATGTCTCCTGGCAACCTACAAGCGCCACCGGGAGTCACGTGATGGGAGATCATGTGACCTGGAAAGACAATTACCACTTCGAGAACCATTTTTCCAAATAAAAAGAGTTCCCAGGTTTAAAGTGCGGAATGATCTGCACACGTCACTCTGGCCTGCGTACTACCCGCTGACAAGGTGATATCATCCACAGAACTATTTTCGTGTAGCGGAGTGCTCGTCTCGTGCTGTAGTTTGTCAGGTAGTTGCATGGTGTATAACTCCGCATTGCCAAGTGTGTGCACGCCGCCTTTGTTCTAACACGTGTTGTCTAATAATCTTGTTACATTTATCGGCATGAGTGGCCTGAAAATAAGCAGCACGTTGTTCAAAGTTGTGTCCCTTGAACGTGTCAGGATCGACTGTTCCTGGGTTTGAATAACAGATTCTCTAAAGAGGCGGCTTCAACCATCAGTGTGTATTCAGGATTACCGGTCGTAGGTGATGGCACAGTGGGTCCGAGGGTCAGATCAGATGACTTCCTTGATTACGTTGAACCTGACGGCATGGGTCGTTGCTCGTGCTATTAATCACTGGTTTTATTTGTCTCGCACGAATACCACTGCATGCAGCATTGAACACAAAACAAACACATGCATCCACTGTTAGAACAATCCCCAACCTCACCCTGCAACTGAAACTAATTCCAAGAATAGAGGGGCGGTGGCGTAACCTAGTGGTTAATCTGTTCGCTCGTCACTCCAAAGATCTGAGTTCGATTCCCCATATGTGTACAATGTGTGAAGCCCTTTCATGTGTTTCCGCCCTAATACTGCGGGTATATTGCTACAAGCGGCGTAAAACTAAACTCACTCATTCCAAGGATAGATGAGGTGTCGAAGGGCGGTGCTGGGAAAAGTGGAGATGAGGCGAAAGAACACGCCATGGAAGCACAACGTGTTGAGGAATACTAGTACTTGCGTGTACTGAACACGTCTACTGAACACGTGTTTGATGCAGGGATCGCCTTCACGGTTCAGAGAATCACTAGAACCGCACCACTTGTCCCGAGACTCGCGCCTCGTGATTTGTCTGTTTCGTTTGATGACGTCAGCCGGAGGTCGGCTACGCGTGTCGTGTAGAGGGATGCGCAGCCGTGTTACAACATGGCCACTGTTACAGAAGGTTGTTTCCATGCCATATCGTGCAGAACAAGAAGAAATCTTTTACCAAATAATTACGGAACACTGATAAAAAATAATTTATACTTTGAGAATTTATTCCGAAATGTAAACATCTTCGTTGGGTATCTTCGGATAAACCCTTTGCCTGCGATTTTCGTTTTCACTAACACAAATTAGTGACTACCTATGAGTACTGTAGACGACATCCCCAAATATGGCATAACGATTCCAAATGTTGCTGCAGCAATTACATGCGTGGAAACGAAATGCCAATGTCCTAATTACAACCGATAAATGTTATGTGTATAACATTAGGTAAATTCTTAAGTATCCGTCACTACTTTTGTTTAGAACATACTGAGGGCAAAGTTAATATACTCATTATGTTTTGTTTGGTTAGGCTTTGTTTTTTGTTGTTTTTGTTGTTTTGTTTTTGGGGTTTTTGTGGGGGTCGTTTTGTTTTCGTTGTTATTTGGGGTGTGCGTTTGTTTTGTTTTTTTTTTGTTTTTGTATGTGGGGGGGATATGCATGCAACTGAAAAATCATTAACTACTCTTAGGTTAAATAATTACTCCAGATAAGTGCCGAACTAGACGGACTTAATCCAAGTAAACACAACCAGCAGAAGATGGGCGATAAACAATATGCCTGTTTGTGCCTAGTCTTTCCTCGGGTATCTTGTGAAGCCCATTTCTGGTGTCTCCCGTCTTGATATTGCTGGAATATTGCAAAAAGCGGTGTAAAACTAAACACTCCTCAGGTATCTAGGTGACTGAGTGGTGCGCTTGGCGCAGAATATATGACGAACCAGTCAGGATTTCTGGGATATCGTTGGAGATCAGTCCCCCTTTAAACCTGTAATAAACTCAGACAATTAATGACAAATACACATATATGAGGCTATTCCGTGATGTATCGAAGACATGAAGGGCGTGTACTGAAGTTTGAAAACCCAATCGCTGCCATGTATGGATAAATAATAAGAAATTGTAAATTGAGTTTAAATAATTTGAGAATGGTTCCATTGCATTTTGGTATGATGCCGTAAACACAATAGGCTACGCCCACTGACGCAATACGCAATGATGAAACATCCAACCGGTTTGGGTTGCATTGGACCGACAATACTGGCTTCGTAATGCTCCCTATACCTGTGTCCACACTTTGCCTAACTCCTCTACGTGTAAACACCGAAATCAGTAACATAGAAACTGCTGCTTATCAGATATCATATCTGCAGAATATCTCAACACAAGAAATGCCAGCAATTTTAAGTGCAGCGCCATTGATAAGTTGCCAAGTGGCTCTTTAACACCGTGCGCTTCTGAACGTGTGAGGCTGTCTGGCTCATTCTTAACCTCAGCCTCTCGCATACAACGGCCTGACCATATAGTGATGGACGTATCCATGACCACCATCAATATAAACATAGATACATTTTGTCTAGAATTAGTGTAGACGCTGATAAATATGTTCTCCATTTAGTTATCCATTGCACGTTTTATTAAATCATATGTACAACCGAAACCCGTTATCTGAGATATACCGACATCTTGAACCTGTATTTTAGACCCGACTAAACACAATTTAAATATATATAAATTTACCCGTTTATATCGAACCTGTTATCAAAATACATAGTGTTATCTCGAACCTTGGACTCCGTTCAAAATTTGACAACTGAAAAACGTTATGCCTTATCTTCAAATATCCGTAAATTCTTGAAGTTTATAGCAATTATTTATGTTGTAAATAATTGCCTACGTCCATTTTTAAAGCCAGATTAACCAGGGCAAAGAATGATGAAATAATTCTCCAATGAATCCTGCCATATGTAAGGAAAAGTAAGATATGTGATGAACGCTGCTGTTATTCCTGCCTCAAATCAAAATATGTCTTTATCGGAAGTCTTACGGTAGCTGATTGTCTGAAGACAGCATCCTCTGATGCATATACTGATGTTTGATCAACCAGCCACAAAACCTACAGTGCATGTGAAGTGAGGTGACTTTGGGATCTCACATATATATGTGTGTCTATCTGCTTGTTCTGTTATGGACATAATTGGTTTCATAGTAATACCTAACTCAGGCACGACTCCGAGCCAGTCAGTCCTCGTGTTATCACATCAATACTGAAATCCAGGCTGGGTAACAAAAAGTACCATCTTTTATCGTCTTTTGTTATGACTCGCAGGGGAATCGAACTGCCGATCTACCGCTCTCTGGGCTAGCGCTCTGTCAACTAGACCACCCTTGTCATGGGGGTTAGAGATTCGTAGTACACAGTCACGCATATCTCGTACTTGACAGGAGATACAATTAAACACGCCTTTGACAAAATACTCCACAAAACACATAAACGCAGACTTTTCCCCCTATAGGACTCTGATGCACTTAATCAGTATTCAGATCTGTTCCATGCCATCCTGCCCAAAATGATAAAACAGAAAATGGAAACACCCTCTGATGTTATTACTCCAACAATTTCGGTCATAACCTCGTAATTACGCGACAGAGCAATGGCAAAATGCGCTATAAAGAGGTTTTACTGTGAATAGTGGAAACTCGTTAATCCGGGCAATATCCCGTAAACTGTCCGGGTTAACGAACAATGTTGATGTAATGAGGACCATTTATTATAAAATACCACGTAAGAAAAGCAACACTCAGGTTGAACTGAACTACAAATGTTTATGGATGTTTATTCAATGACCATAATTATCTTTTTAACCTTAATTTGCAATCTTTCGGGAATGTATGTAATGTTTTGTCAAATCCAATTTCATGTTTATTTCCTATTCAGTGGATTTATCTATGTACAGATAGACGTATCTGAAACGAATCGAAAGGTTTTCGGAAGGGCATGCGTCCTCATCATAACGTGTTTCACTATGGGTTTCACTATGGGTTTCACGCCGTGTATCACAGGTGTCGAGAGGTACTATACTGCTCTATAGGTCGGAGAATGGGTACGTTACCGAGTTGACGGAGCCCGGGGTGACTGACCTCTGTACGCAGTGCCCTCCATCGCATCCCTGTATACAGTTCTCTGACACTGTTATGACAAGCTGTGGTCAGACAACAGACACCTGCAGTCAGCTCACGGCGAGGTACACACAGAGGGTAAAAAACGGAACGACACAAAACGCGAGGCATGTGTTTCATGATGGCGATCATCACAGAAAACCTGACATTATTCGGTAAATTTGAGTCAGTAGTGCTGTTATGTCAGGTTGATGTTATAGAAAAAACAGAATTGATGCAAGTCTCAGAAATGCAACTTTGACGAACCCCACGAGCAAGGGATTGCAATGCATTGAACATGACTCACTGTGACTCACTTTATCATCGGTGAAGTATTAAAACTGAACACTTCATTACATTAAACTAAACTGTGTTTGTTTGTTCATGTAATTTCCCGTCAATAAAACTTAATTTTACGGCAAAGCTTTCAATAATAAAATATTATCATTATTGCCGATGGGTAGAAAATACGACTTTAACCAATTTTATTATGGTCGTGTTTTCATATTGACGCAGCATTAACGTGTATTTTAAAATACCAAAAATCTTTACTATTGAATCTACATGCCGATTTTAAGTGAGGTGAGTTGAGGTGAAATTGGGTTTAACGTCGTGCTTGAGAATATTTCGCTCATATGACGACGTGCATGCGTGTGTATGTGTATGTGCGGCTGCTTGTACTAGCCCAGACTGAAGCTGGTTTTATAGTGCTAGCCCACTGAGATACCATGCCGCAGTGAAGCATGAATACCCCACTCAGACACATTATACTGACTCCGAGCCGACCAGTCCTTGTTGTACCCATTAATGCCGAGCGCCAGGCAGGGACTAACAAGTACCATATTTTAACGTCTTTTGGTATGACGCGACCGGGGATCCGATTTTAAGTAAAACACGAAGAAACGTGTTGAACATCCTCTAGTGTTATTCGCATTTCTCTCCTTTGTGTTCTATGAAGCCATCTCTCTGAACATGGAGATAGGCCGAACGTATACATTTATATTTTGGAATGGAAATACAAAGAAGTGTCGGGCGATATCCATCCAGTATCACCGGTATCTGACAGTCACCAACAAATAGCGCTGAAAATAGGGATCCGAACTCAGCAGAGGTGCTGATCAACATTTTGAGGTTGGCATGAAGAGATAGCAGTTAACAGTCAACTATCTGCTTATGTTGTGTACGAGTGGTTTGGCATGTTTTTCACTAACATCTTTTGTGTCCTGTAAAAGCTGTATAAAATGACAACATGCTGGCTATTGGAATCATCCTTCCTCGTGTTTGATAACTGCACTAGCATCTGTGCCGATACGTCACATTGTAAGAAAAACAAAGTTCCGATTATCCACCATGAGGTGTGATAAACAAATTCCACTACAATAAAAAAAGAAGTAAATATTTTGGCCTCTACTGGAACTGGTACATTGGTACGAGAATCGAAAACGAAAATACATACACTATAGAGAAATATATAGATACTTTTTAACTGGCCAGTCATTAAGAGTGACAAGAATAAATCTTATTTCTAATTCCCTTTTATTTTTTCTACAGACTTGAAACAGCGTCGATCGACGACCTGGTTTACCCTCGACCATCCCGGAGCGTGAGCGTTCTGGTTGAGGGGGATATCGGTGTTGGCAAGACAACCATCTGTCAACGTCTTCTGCAGCTCTGGGAGGTCAAGGTCGCATGTCAACAGACGCAGTGCATGAAGGCCACGTGTAGTTCTAATGTCAAGGACGTTTATCTGCCGAATTTAAAGACACCGCTTTACCTTGATTGTTCCAACGTTACGGAGGGCTCCTTCTCATCGCTGATGGACAGCAAGAGCCACATCCGGTTCATTGTGAAGACAGTGAAGGCCTTGTTAGGAGAGCAAGGATCCGAGTTCGAGACGAATGATATGAGTGACTGGCTGACTAGCTACTCTGGGGACGTTGAAGTGTACTTTGACAATGTTCCAGTGTGTTCTGGACTGATCAAGGTGATTGAATCAACTCTAGACTCCCACAAGACGGCGTTCGGACGTGTAATGGTATTCACCGGGCCAAGTGTGATGCAGAAACATCGCTTCGACAACCTGTTCTACTGCTACGGAATTAATCCGGATTATGGCTCTCGAATTCTTACGAGGCGTTTGCAGAAGATGTGTGAATTTCCTGAGAACAAAGTATCAAGTGTAGATCAAGTCAAGATGGTTGATCTTCAAGGCGAACTCTTCCGAAACCCCCTAATAAGTTCTCTTCTTGCTGATTTCTGTAAAACCGGATATGACGTCATCCCTAACAACAAAACGGACTTGATCCAGTGTCTCCTTCACCACAGCTTCCGGTCGTTAGATGGCATGTTACAGGAGAAGGGATCAGGTAGTGATTTGGAGCGGATTATCGTGTGTTTACGCCAGCAAGCATATGAAGGGTTGTACAGAGGGACTCACTATTTCAACAAGTCCGTTCTCGCCGATTCCGTTCAATTCCTTCACCTTTGTGAGCTGAGAATAATCCGGGACATTCACGAGACTGGTGATCCGAACGAATCCACTTCCAACAGTGATATGTTCGCCTACAGCTCCAGAGGTTTCCGCGACTTCCTGGCCTCTGCGCATGTCTGTCATCTGTTGGTAAATCCTACAATCTCGGAAAGTCTCCTACCAAATCTCCTACAAGACCGTGTGTTCGAGAGTCTGTGTGGGTACTGCTGTCGACAGCTCAGTGTATCCGGTCACATCGCGGTCCTCAAGACACTAGTGGAAACAATGATGGACAGGTCCAAACAGCAGTATGTGACAATGCTGGGTCACGATCAGCTCGTGACACGTGGTACCCTCTGTGACATTAGCAGAGTTCTGGTGTGTCTCAGACAAACCGATTTTCAAGAAGATGTGTGCAAATTAGTAGCCCAAAATTTTCCAACAATTTTAGAATTTTCTTTAGAGGACAGCGTTTGTTCAGTGCTTCAGGATTTGATTCACATGATGTCGCGTTACGAACTCTCAACGCATGGAATCGTTTTCCACATGGACAAAATGTTTACACAGTCCAGCCTCGGTATCAGTCTGGCACGTGCTCTGAATTGTATGACATCTTTAACAACGTTGATGCTGCGGGCGACTTTTGTTGCCGATACGTCGTTTCTGGTACATTTCCTCTGTGAGACATTCCAAGGTAACACCCATGTGAAGAACTTCACTTTAGGAGGGCCTTTTAATTCGGCCGAGAATCTTTCCCACGCGTTACACAGACGAGTGGCCTCGACATTCACATCCACCATAGCCCTTAAAACACTAACAATAGAAAACTGTAGCCATATGCATCGGATTGCCTATGTAATTGGATGTTGGCCAAACATCTTCCAAAGACTCGAGGTCAGGAGGTGTAACCTTGAAGCAGCTGGGTCAGAGGTCATCATCAAACTGAAAGGTCAGAGTGACTTTTATCATCTCCGATTAGAAAACTGCTACATTCCGAGTGCAAAGTTACACGATGTCCTGAAGTGCGCTCAAATGTGCAAGAAGTTGCAAGTACTGAGCCTTAATCTTCTATCGGCTAAAAAAAACTTTTCTGTAATGGATACCCATCGAGGGACCTTTCTTCCCGCCATTGATGCCAGGGCATGCTCCCTTCTGCATGAGCTGATTGTCTCAAGCCCACTTCTCGAGGAAGTCACGGTATGTCACGCCGGACTTGATGACGTCAAAGCAGGTGTTATAATAGGAGCAGTGTTGCAGAGCGTGTCTCTGAAGGTGGTGGACCTCAGCGGAAACCTCATAACGGATGACGTCACGAAAGATGTGATTGACGTCATTAAAACCGTGAAAACGTTGAGGGGTCTTATGTTAAACAACAACTCTTTCACTCCAGAGGGTCGAAAGAGCGTTGTTCGCGCGACCAGTGACGTTATGGACCTCAAGCTTAGCATGTGAAGGGTTATATTCTTACAGGTCTTCAGTGAGCAGAATCACCGTCCTACGTAACGTTTCTGGTATCTTTGCCACCGGTCAGAGATATGTGACGATTCACAATATTTAACCCCAGTCTACAAATTACACAGTCATGTTTTTCATAGATTATATTTTTGAATAGCCTACTAAAACAGATAAACGTGTAATAAAATGTTTAAATCTTTGTGCCAAATTATCCCAAAACGTGAAAAACGATTCCAGCTGCTTATCTATCCTTGTTTGAAATAGTTTTATGGTTTCACGTGCCGACATCAAAGCCCGACGGAGAGCTAGAGATGCTGTAACTAGAATATGTATTAATAGGCTGTCGTAGTTGTACCAGAATATTTCATACTTGTGCACAACAATCTATAAATAGCACTGAAAGACTCTTAGCTCGACTCATTTGACTTCAGAAAACAAACTAACAAACTGAAGAAAAGTCGAGTCACGTGATATGCAAATTAACTTGCGGCACTGGTCTCATGGCATGCAGAATCAACACAACGACGGAATGTGATACAGAATGTACTCTGATGAAGTGATGTCTCTGCAGCCTTGATGAAGAATTGTGACAGACAATATACCGGGCACCTGCTTGCTGTACATCAGTAATAAACTTTGACAAGACGAGTCTTCATGTTATATCTGGTTACGTTGATATACTTAACCGCAAAAGAAACGCAAGCTGTACATGAAATGCAGATTTAAGATCATAACGTTGGGCTGGGTTGTTGTTTTACGCCGCAGTCAGCAATATTCCAGCTATATGGCGGCGGCTGGTAAATCGGATCTTGACCAGACAATCCAGTGATCAACAGCATGAGCATCGATCTACGCAACTGGGATTCGATTAAAGTGTGTCAACGAAGTCAGCGAGCCTGACCACCCGATCCCGTTAATCGAATCTTACGACAAGCAAGGGCTGCTGAAGACCAGTTCTATCCCGGATCTTCGTGGGTCTAAGATCATAAAGCGATATGGAGGTAATGTCAAGAAATAATAACAGGAAATGCATTTGGCAAGCCAGCGTTGATTGTTTGATGAAACAAAATTGTGAGTAACTTTAAAGAAATAGTTATTCTTTTCATTATGTTGGCTTTTGAAGGATTGACAAGTGGTAAAAATTCAAATATTTATGCATGTGATTTTTGCTACATGTGCAAAGAAAATATCAGACGTGACGAAGTCACTGTAATCTTGCGACATGTTTAAGAAAAATTATGTAAGTGGTGGTCAGGTTTTTATTAATCAGTTACCTTATATTGTGTACAATTCTTTTCTCAAATTATTTTGTGTGCAATATTGATTAAAAATAGCTTCACGTGCGTTTCTTTTGGGCTAGATATACAGCACATGGTTACATTATTACAATAGGAGATCTTGCATCATGTTCAATGAGATTAATATTGCAATTATTGGTTACATATTTGCGATATGTAGCTACATGAAAACATTCGCTTGTTTGTCGTTTAACGCCGCATTCAGCAATATTCCAGCAGCGGTCTGTAAATGATCGAATCTGGACCAGAACATCCCGTGATCAACAGCGTGAGCATCGATCTACACAATTGGGATACTATGACATGTGTCAACCAATCATTCAAAAATCATTCGTACTTACATGCGGTTACATAATTTTTATGTGTAACTACATGAAATCCACTTGTGGTTGTTATTATTGGACATTTATATAGCGCACATATCCACTCACTAGTGCATGCTCAAGGCTCTGGTATTATTTTCCCTCGATCATTGGATGTCAATCTCAACGGCACATCTTATTATCAAACTCAACTCCCTGGCGAGCATACAACCCTTGCTGCCACAAGGCGCACCGAGTTATTGCGGCTTTCCCATCCTTACGAGGTACTCATTCACAGCAGGGTGGACTGGGACACATAGTCACAGTACTTTGTCCAAGTTGCACGTTGCTATACCAGCAACTAGGTGTTTGCACGTATTCACGTGGCCACCATCTGGTCAAATACCAACAGATTCGTGGGGTTTGTGTACTGTTTGTGTACTGTACACTAGGGGTTGTGACAACACTGAAAGAGTCTGCACACAAAGTTGACTCCTAGGTTTTCACACCCGGTCACAGGTGGGCTCGATCCCGGCACCTCATGCTCGCTGGATCACTAGCCTTGCGCCATAGCCAGCTCGCCCACCACGCCCCCTGGGTTGTGTTTGAAGAGAACAAGGCTGTTACATAATAGCGATGATAGCTTTGTGATTTTATTTTTGAAGTTTTTTGGGACATCAGTCCAGGGGCGGATACAGCTTTTTGAGAAAGTGGGGGTGCACACTCTTGAGAAAAGGAGGGGTGCACACTTCATTTTCACCAGAGTTTCAATGGTCGTTTAACAAACTTTCACCACAGGAAAGGCGGGGAGGACCCCTGCACACACACACACACACCCTCTGGATCCGCCTATGCAGTCTGATGGCATTCTGCATGAAATCCGTCCATAATTACATACTCGTAACTACAATTTGTGTTTGCATAATGTGAATCCCCCATTTTCTTGCTAATTAATATGGTCTGGTGATTTTAAACCTATAACAATAACGACTGGCAAAAGGGGAACACCCCATCTTAGCTACATGAGAACAATTAATGGGTACATGTTGGCAGCACGTGGGTACATGTTGTGATGTAGAGCAGCGTGAAACCCATTCATCATGAAATTAGTGCAAATCGTGGCTCTGTGACAAGTAACTAGAAGAAACCAAGGCAGTGGGGTAGACTAGTAGTTAAAGCATTCGCTCGTGACGCCAAAAAACCCCTCTTCCACAAGCCCATGTCTGGTTTTCACAGTCGTCATAGTGCTGGAATTAGCAACGTGAAATTAAACTTAAAGTCATACGCTCGTAAGATGTATGCCAGTCATTTGGTGTGTTTCTCTCTCAAAATACTGTGTACCAGCAGGTTTTTTGTCTTCAATACGAGTCCAACCTCTCACTGAAGCACTAAATGTGATTCCATCACAACCTAATCGAAAGATCATTTACCATGTAGAATAGTCTGAAGGGTGTGTGATACTTCCGTAAAAAGTCCTACAAACGAATGAATGTTCAGAATAAATTGTTTGAGGTAATTTCTATTCCTGGGATGGATACATTTTGTATCATAATGTAGATCTGGGCTTTGTTAGAAAAACATTTGCAACGTGTTATTGGTATGTAATGGAATATTGGAAACCAAATTTTTAAAATGACATAAAAAACCTTAATCTCCACCATAATTGCCCCCGAATCGTCATTACTGAGGGGTCATACTGAAAGTCGATTTATCAGTATTTAAAAAGCGTCCCATTTCACCTCCACGAGTGCGGCAGTTCAACATCTAAAATTAACCATTTTGCAATCACATTCACTGTTACTTTCATGCAGTGCACGTGTATCGGCTAAACAAGTCTAGAATATGTGTCCACAGTTTCTGAAAATGAAGACAGTTTCAGGGCTCCTTTTCATTATATTTTATGATTATCATTTATAAACCGTTTCTTCAGTAAATATGTTCATTTCAGAGACTAGCTAGTCTATTACCTTCCACTAAACGCAACCGAACCCCAAACCCCAACCCCCAACCCCAACCGCACCCCTCACCCCCTGCATTATATGCCGGCCATTAAATAACATGAATGTCAGTAGCCATGTGAAGATCGTGAGAGATTGACTGCAACCTGAGAGAATCGCGCGTGATGCTAGTTTGACCTACAGGACAAGCAGCTGTGGTCATCACACCTGCATCCGGCACCAACTGCTGCACTTCAGCATGAGCTGGGTCGATGTGGTCAGAGTACTCGTGTGTTGACGAACAGATGATACTTTCGAACACGTGTTAAACGATCACCTAACGCTAGATGAACCCAATCCAGCTGGATAAAACTGATGCTGTTGCTCGCATTTTTGAATTCCATAATTTTTTAAACAACGAAATATTATAGGGACAACACATTTTTGACGGGAAGAGGAGGTATGTTTTGGAGTGAAAACTGAGCACAAATTTAACTCCCAGAATATTCAAGATCCCTAACTTATTTATGATTTTTAGTTTACATTCCATTGTCACAACATGGACAGGATTTACACATGTAGCAGAGCGTGGAGTCGTCCCACAGATGACATCCTTACTTTGTCAGTGTAGCAGGATGTGGAGTCGTCCCACAGATGGCATCCTTACCTTCTCAGTGTAGCAGGACGTGGAGTCATCCCACAGATGACATCCTTACCTTGTCAGTGTAGCAGGACGTGGAGTCGTCCCACAGATGACATCGTTACCATGTCAGTGTAGCAGGACGTGGAGTCGTCCCACAGATGACATCCTTACCTTGTCAACTTGCTGACTGGGTTAATCTCTTTGGTCATGTGGACAAGGCGTCCGATTTCGGATCAGACGTGCGTGGTTCGAATCCCAGCACGAGACTCGGAAATGTTACAGCCGCTGCAGACAATGTACGAGAACCCAGACCAGGGACAGTGAACCTAGGTCTTAAGTGGTACACGCTATTGTTTCAACTATCTGAGAGTGTGAGTTTGATTAAACAGTATCTGGGTTACATCAAGTGCTATCTTGATGGTGGAGGAAAACTCGAAAAGATGAAGGAATTATAGGCTTACCAACCCCACCCACGCGAGCACGGATAGTCAGGGCTTCCAACCAGCAAATATAGAATTCTGACACGCCCTAAGGTTGTCAAAATGTGGCAACATAGAAGACATGCTAAACGTGGACTACTTCACCACAGGATTCCCTCGCTACCAACACTAACGCATATTGAACAATATTCCAGGGTCCCAATCCACAAAGCATTCGTAGCACTACGACATTCGTAAGCCAATGGTAAACTATAGAGTTGCGACAGGTCGTAATTTTACGAACGCTTTTTGGATCGGGACCCAGTCTTATAACAGCGTGTCTACTTAAACTGAAAACCGCCAAAATCGCCCCAAAATATTTGAGAGAATGTCAGCGGTCGGAAAGCAGATTTGAACACTATTTCTATTTTTGTGTTCACACGAAATATGTCATATGAAGCTTATTCCACGAAGCATACTTCCGCTAATTAAAAAAAGACATACCCAATGAGGCCCAAAGGTCTAATCTCCAGGATATTGTTTATTTATGTGCTCACGCATCCGATCCGCGGTATCACATGCTTGTCGTATCATACACCCACACCCACGAGTCGTCCATATAGTTTCCCGCAGGGAGTAAAATACCGAAGACGTTTGTGTTATATGAAAAAGAATAATCAAATCAAATACACAAAATGTTCATGGTATATCAGTCGTAAATAACCGTCCCTTGTTTTCACGACCCTTCCATCAAATGTATCATGGCATCACGGCCCATCTTCTGAACCAGTCATGTTTGTAACTGGCCCTCCCTCAAGAATTATCGTTAAAATTGTTCTGGAGTTATATTTGTGTATGAACCAGAACACTAATCGGTTGCCATGGTCGTCGGTGAAATCACCTCGTGAAGTAAATGAATTCTAATCGCTTTTTACAACATGGATGGCACGATCCTCTGTGATAATGGTCTCCCAACTAAACTGATGTCACGTTACCGAAGAGAATGTAGCTTAAGGGCTTCTCCATCATGAATAATATACTATAGGAGATAAAACTGGTTTTGTTTATTTAAGAATACTATAGGGTAATGGACGGAAGGTCCGTGTGTGTGCATAAACCTGCAATATCAGATGTTCGATTGTCCTGCGGAAGGTATTAGCGGGAAAACTATTCATGGAGAACTTTGCCCACAGGAACTTTGCCCACAGGAACTTTGCCCACTGAAACTTTGCCCACAGGAACTTTGCCCACTGAAGACTTTGCCCACAGGAACTTTGCCCACTGAAACTTTGCCCACAAGGAACTTTGCCCACAGGAACTTTGCCCACTGAAACTTTGCCCACAAGGAACTTTGCCCACTGAAACTTTACCCACAGGAACTTTGCCCACTGAAACTTTGCCCACAAGGAACTTTGCCCACAGGAACTTTGCCCACAAGGAACTTTGCCCACTGAAGACTTTGCCCACTGAAACTTTACCCACAATTTGCCCACAAGGAACTTTGCCCACTGAAACTTTACACACGGGAACTTTGCCCAATGAAACTTTGCCCACAAGGAACTTTGCACACAGGAACTTGGCCCACAGGATCTTTGCCCACAAGGAACTTTGCCCACAGGAACTTTGCCCACAAGGAACTTTGCCCACACCAAATATTCCCCACAGGAACTTTGCCCACAAGGAACTTTGCCCACAGGAAATATTCCCCACAGGAACTTTGCCCACAAGGAGCTTTGCCCACGGGAACTTTGCCTACAAGGAACTTTACCCACAGGGAATTTCCCTACAGGAACTCTGCCCACTTGGAGCTCTCTGCCCACCACAATTTTTACAGGGGAGGTATTTTGCCCACAAGATGAATATTTTGCAAACCATAATCTGGGATCTGGGATGCTTCCCCCTGATAACTGTAGCATGATCCTTCGTGGAAGTTTTGGGTTTTGCTGCTTGCACTTCGTTTACATCACTACTGTGGGCATGTTCACTTTTACTTATCACATTGTCAATAGAAACATCCGTGGTTAATGAACCCTTACAACTAAACCCTCTTCTTTGGGAACATTCCCAGTGAATGTTTGACTTTCTTCAAACTTTTTTTAGCATACATTAAATTTATATCCATCATAGCAAAGTTTTTGACTACCCCTGTTATGTTTTAGAATGTTCATCTTGTAATGTTATGTAAGTCTATAAACACTGGAGTTAATGCTAATGAGATTAGCCTTACATACTTTACCCAGCTGGGTGAGTGAGTAGAAGGTGAGTATTAATTGTAATTAGAAAAAAGAAATACAAAGCAGCAGAGACTCTTCGTTGAAGAGAAATTAATGTTTGATTTCTTTTAGACTATAGTAAACTAAAACTTTTAACAGGTATCAAAAGAAATTACTCTTTGATTTGTCTCATCGACAGAAACAATGTCTTTGTGGATGGCAAAAATATATATGTGATTTTCATTGGCTTTGCTAGGCGGTAAATTCTGTGTCGTGGGTTAAATGGTTCACGGTCGATCTAAACTAGACACAGATTAGTGTTGGAGATTTGTGTTGGAGGCAGAACTGACCGTACCGTCACATGTGTTAAAGACGGAAACTAATAAATATTGAAAATACTTCTGAACTAAAAGTCAAACTTTAAACCGTTTAAGGCGGTGTTCTTGGCGCTGGGGAAGCCTAGAGGTTAAAGCGTCCGCTCGTCACGCCGACGACCCGGGTTCGATTCCCAACATGGGTACAATGTTTGCACCCCATTTCTGGTGTCCTCCGCCGTGGCATTGCTAGAATATTACTGAAAGCGGCGTAAAACCAAACTCACTCACTGTTCTGACATTGTTTAATGTGGAAGGAACGCCCGAAGTGATACCGAGCTTACACATTGACCACTTTAGTGAGCTGAGTCCCGATAATTACCTCCACAAGCATACTGCTGAGAGCCTGTATTCCTACCCGGAATCTAGACGTTCCATGTGTAAATGAGAGTAATGCCCTCTTTAAACAAACAATGAAAATATTTCTTTTTTCAATGTATTTCGAACGTAATGCATAGTCGGTATGGATGAAACCAGATATCGTCAAAACCACTGTTATCAAATGTTTGTGTGTCCAGTTTGACGTCGACGTCAACGTCACGACAACGTGGACTGACAACGACGTGGATAATGTTCACGCACATTAAACTCCATTGACTGAGTTGCATTGCCTTAGCTCCATAGTATCCTAGTATCGAGAAATGGTTTCTTTTAGTCCACAACACCGACATTTTCTGCAGTAGTAATGGCGGTAGTTGTTGTGGTGGCGATATGTTCGTCGTTTCCGGTTCAGCAGGGCGCCGCCATTTTGAAACAACTTTAACTTGGGAATGTTCTGAGCCAGGTCAAACTTTGCATTATCTGAAAAAAAATAATTAAATGAGATAGTTGCCAGCGTTTAAAGACTAGTTCTTATTGAATAATTGAATAACACACGTGTATTTTTTTCTGGGACATCGGTCAATCTCGCCCCTTTCCGTGACCGCAGGCAGGCATTATTCAGGCGATCTGTTCCGAATGTTACTTTCCTATGGAGAATCCTGGGGAGGTCTAGAGTTAGTAGCTGCGTGGCTGCGACTACGTACGTAGCTTATGTGTATCGCTCAACATTGACAATGCATCAACACGAATCTCTTTGTAAATAATCACCTATAATGTAAACCTTATTTTCGTTATGTTAATTGCTCTGTGTAAATGGAAAAATAGCCTGATTGCTTGGAATGAAAAAATGTATATTTTTTCAAATACTGCAATCTGTTGCGCATTACCAAGATATGTATGTATATATCGTAATATTGTTCATTACAGTAATTACAACATTCTCACTAAAGGAGACTTTATGTTGCTAGTGGATGGGTTATGTTGCTAGTGGATGGGTTATGTTGCTAGTGGATGGGTTATGTTCCTGGTGGATGAGTTATGCTGCAGATGGATGGGTTATGTTGCTGATGGATGGGTTATGTTGCTGATGGAAGGGTTATGTTGCTGATGGATGGACTATGCTGCTGATGGGTGGAATATGTTGCTGATGGATGAGTTATCCTGCAGATGGATGGCTTATGTTGCTGGTGGATGGCTTATGTTGCTACTGGATGGGTTATGTTGCTGATGGATGGGTTATGTTGCTGACGCATGGGTTATGCTGCTGATGCATGGGTTATGTTGCTAGTGGAAGGGTTATGTTGCTGATGGATGGCTTATGTTGCTTATGGATGGCTTATGTTGCTAGCGGATGGGTTATGTTGCTGATGGATGGGTTGTGTTGCTAGTGGATAGGTTATGTTCCTAGTGGATGCGTTGTGATGCTGATGGATAGGTTATGTTGCTGATGGATAGGTTATGTTGCTGATAGATAGGTTATGTTGCTAGTGGATGGGTTATGTTGCTGATGGATAGGTTATGTTGCTAGTGGATGGGTTATGTTGCTGATGAATAGGTTATGTTGCTGATAGACGGGTTATGTTGCTAGTGGATGGGTTATGTTGCTGATGGATAGGTTATGTGGCTAGTGGATGGGTTATGTTGCTAGTGCTGGATTATGTTGCTGATACATAGGTTATGTTGCTAGTGGAAGGGTTATGTTGCTGATGGATGGGTTATGTTACTAGTGGATGGGTTATGTTGCTGATGGATGGGTTATGTTGCAGATGGATGGGTTATGTTGCTGATGGATGGGTTATGTTCCTAGTGGATGGGTTATGTTGCTGATGGATGGGTTATGTTACTAGTGGATGGGTTATGTTGCTGATGTATGGCTTATGTTGCTGATGGATGGGATATGTTGCTGATGGATGGGTTATGTTGCTGATGGATGGGTTGTGTTGCTAGTGGATGGGTCATGTTGCTGATGGATGGGTTATGTTGCAGATGGATGGGTTATGTTGCTGATGGATGGGTTATGTTCCTAGTGGATGGGTTATGTTGCTGATGGATGGGTCATGCTGCTGATGGATGGGTTATGTTGCTAGTTGATGGGTTATGCTGCTAGTGGGTGAGTAGCGTGGCTAGTAGATGGGATATGCTGCTAATGGTTTCGTTATGTTGATGATGGATGATTATGTTGTTGATGGATGGACTAAGTTGCTGATGTAAGGATTATGTTACTACTGGATGGTTATATTGCAGATGGAAGGGTTATGTTGGAGATGGAAAGGTTATGTTGCTTATGGATGGCTTATGTTGCTGATGGTTGGGTTATGTGGCTGATGGTTTGGTTATGCTGCTGATGGTTTGGTTATGTTGCCAGTGGATGGATTATGTTACTTGTGGATGGGTTCTGTTGCTGATGGATGGTTTTTGTTGCAGATGGATGGGTCATGTTGCAGATGGATGGGTTATGCTGCAGACGGATGGGTTATGTTGCAGATGGATGGGTCATGTTGCAGATGGGTGGTTTTTGTTGCAGATGGATGGGTTATGTTGCTAGTGGATGTGTTATAATGCTTATGGATGGGTCTGTTGCAGATGGATGTGTTATAATGCTTATGGATGGGTTATGCAGCTGATGGATGTGTTTTAATGCTTATGGATGGTTTATGTTGGAGATGGATAGGTTATAATGCTTATGGATGGGTCATGTTTGCATATGGATATGTTATAATGCTTATGGATGTGTTATGCTGCTGATGGATGTGTTACAATGCTTATGAATGTGTCATGTTACAGATGGATGTGTTATAATGCTTATGGATTAGTTATGCTGCTGATGGATGTGTTATAATGCTTATGGATGGATCATGTTGCAGATGGATGTGTTATAATGCTGATGAATGGGTCATGTTGCAGATGGATGTGTTATAATGCTTATGAATGGGTCATGTTGTAGATGGATGTGTTATAATACTAATGGATGGGTTATGCTGCAGATGGATGTGTTATAATGCTTATAAATGGGTCATGTTGCAGATGGATGAGTTATAATACTTATGGATGGGTTATGCTGCTGATGGATGTGTTATAATGCTTATGAATGGGTTATGTTGCAGATGGATGTGTTATAATACTTATGAATGGGTTATGCAGCTGATGGATGTGTTATAATGCTTATGAATGGGTAATGTTGCAGATGGATGTGTTTTAATGCTTATGGATGGTTTATGTTGCAGATGGATGGGTCATGTTACAGATGGATAGGTTATAATGCTTATGGATTGGTTATGTTGCAGATGGATGGGTTATGTTGCCAGTGGATGGATTATGTTACTTGTGGATGGGTTCTGTTGCTGATGGATGGTTTTTGTTGCAGATGGATGGGTCATGTTGCAGATGGATGGGTTATGCTGCAGACGGATGGGTTATGTTGCAGATGGATGGGTCATGTTGCAGATGGGTGGTTTTTGTTGCAGATGGATGGGTTATGTTGCTAGTGGATGTGTTATAATGCTTATGGATGGGTCTGTTGCAGATGGATGTGTTATAATGCTTATGGATGGGTTATGCAGCTGATGGATGTGTTATAATGCTTATGAAAGGGTTATGTTGCAGATGGATGTGTTTTAATGCTTATGGATGGTTTATGTTGGAGATGGATAGGTTATAATGCTTATGGATTGGTTATATTGCAGATGGATGGGTTATAATGCTCATGGATGGGTCATGTTTGCATATGGATATGTTATAATGCTTATGGATGTGTTATGCTGCTGATGGATGTGTTACAATGCTTATGAATGTGTCATGTTACAGATGGATGTGTTATAATGCTTATGGATTAGTTATGCTGCTGATGGATGTGTTATAATGCTTATGGATGGATCATGTTGCAGATGGATGTGTTATAATGCTGATGAATGGGTCATGTTGCAGATGGATGTGTTATAATGCTTATGAATGGGTCATGTTGTAGATGGATGTGTTATAATACTAATGGATGGGTTATGCTGCAGATGGATGTGTTATAATGCTTATAAATGGGTCATGTTGCAGATGGATGTGTTATAATACTTATGGATGGGTTATGCTGCTGATGGATGTGTTATAATGCTTATGAATGGGTTATGTTGCAGATGGATGTGTTATAATACTTATGAATGGGTTATGCAGCTGATGGATGTGTTATAATGCTTATGAATGGGTAATGTTGCAGATGGATGTGTTTTAATGCTTATGGATGGTTTATGTTGCAGATGGATGGGTCATGTTACAGATGGATAGGTTATAATGCTTATGGATTGGTTATGTTGCAGATGGATGGGTTATATTCCTCATGGATGGGTCATGTTTGCATATGGATGTGTTATAATGCTTATGGATGTGTTATGCTGCTGATGGATGTGTTATAATGCTTATGGATGGGTTATGCTGCAGATGGATGTGTTATAATGCTTATGAATGGGTCATGTTGCAGATGGATGTGTTATAATGCTTATGAATGGGTTATGTTGCAGATGGATGTGTTATAATACTTATGGATGGGTTATGCTGCTGATGGATGTGTTATAATGCTTTTGGATGGGTTATGCTGCTGATGGATGTGTTGTAATGCTTATGAATGGGTCATGTTGCAGATGGATGTGATATAATGCTTATGAACGGGTTATGCTGCTGATGGATATGTTACAATGCTTATGAATGGGTCATGTTGTAGATGGATGTGTTGTAATGCTTATGAATGGGTCATGTTGCAGATGGATGTGTTATAATGCTTATGAATGGGTCATGTTGCAGATGGATGTGTTATAATACTTATAAATGGGTCATGTTGCAGATGGATGTGTTATAATGCTTATGAATTGGTTATGCTGCTGATGGATGTGTTATAATGCTTATGAATGGGTCATGTTGCAGATGGATGTGTTATAATACTTATGAATGGGTTTTGTTGCTGATGGATGTGTTATAATGCTTATGAATGGGTTATGTTGCAGATGGATGTGTTATAATGCTTATGAATGGGTTATGTTGCAGATGGACGTGTTATAATACTTATGAATGGGTTTTGTTGCTGATGGATGTGTTATAATGCTTATGAATGGGTCATGTTGCAGATGGATGTGTTATAATGCTGATGAATGGGTCATGTTGCAGATGGATGTGTTATAATGCTGATGAATGGGTCATGTTGCAGATGGATGTGTTATAATGCTTATGAATGGGTTATGTTGCAGATGGATGTGTTATAATGCTTATGAATACATCATGTTGCAGATGGATGTGTTATAATGCTTATGGATGGGTTATGCTGCTGATGGATGTGTTATAATACTTATGAATGGGTTATGCTGCAGATGGATGTGTTATAATGCTTCTGAATGGGTTATGTTGCAGATGGATGTGTTATAATGCTTATAAATGGGTTATGCTGCAGATGGATGTGTTATAATGCTTATGAATGGGTTATGTTGCAGATGGATGTGTTAGAATGCTGATGAATGGGTCATGTTGCAGATAGATGTGTTATAATGCTTCTGAATGGGTTATGTTGCAGATGGATGTGTTATAATGCTTATGAATGGGTTTTGTTGCAGATGGATGTGTTATAATGCTTATAAATGGGTTATGCTGCAGATGGATGTGTTATAATGCTTATGAATGGGTTATGTTGCAGATGGATGTGTTAGAATGCTGATGAATGGGTCATGTTGCAGATAGATGTGTTATAATGCTTCTGAATGGGTTATGTTGCAGATGGATGTGTTATAATGCTTATGAATGGGTCATGTTGCAGATGGATGTGTTATTAATGTAAGTATTGATGAGAGAAATGCAATATTATTTTGAGAGAAGTGTGGCGTGATAGTGTGCCTTTAAATTGTCCCATAATTTTCAATAATAGTTTCTCGGGTCCCTTCATTCGGGACAAGAAAGTTCAGCCGTTTTGGCCAACATATTTCTCAATGTTAATGAGATCATTAGTTTCCATTATAAACAGAAACCCTCAGGCACATGATTATAATTGTTTTTCCTACAATCAATGGTTGCTCTATAATTGTTCTTCGGTTTACCAGCTCGTTATGTGCCACAGACCCTATTTAAAAAGCGTCAGCGGCAAGTATAATACATGGAGGCAAAAATCAATCGCCCTATTTCTTTGTTTTCTTTTGTTTTTTTGTAAACTATGTTAATTATTTCATTGTTACTTCACATACAATATACAACACATACAATAAATTTAGCCTAAGTTTCTTCAGGATGCCAACTTACGACAGAGATAGTACTTCACCTTGGGTCTGGCTTGCATATGAGAGTAAAGTGTTAGAAAATGTTAACGCACATGCAGCACTATTAGTGTTTCCTTTAGTTCTGAAGTCAATGAAAAATTGTCCATTAATTTAATAGTTTGGTAACACCAAAGATCTCGCGTTTGTAATGTTTTAGAAGATTTAACAGCGTTCAATTTACGCGCGTTCGGAACGGTTTACTATTCAATTTACTGAATGAGTGAGTGAGTTTAGTTTTATGTTTCAGCAATATTCCAACAATACCACGACGGGCAATGACCTTGCTTTTCACTCAAAACCCAGCTGTTTTACCTCCTAATTTATTATTTTCATACCTAATTCATACGACCTTGTTAATTACGTTATTCAGATTCTACAGTATTGTAAACAGTTGTAGATTCTGATAGTTCTTATCTAAAAACACCAGAATCAGAACAACCAAGGCCCGCATATCTGCACAGCATATCAGAATACATGATTGTGGAATTTGTGGTACAGCAGCAGTCATTTGGAACTAAATCAATCTTTTTAATTTGAAAAAAATCAATATAAAAAGGTTTTTCTTTAAATATATACAATGCAAAACCATTTCTAGGTGAGACCATAGGATAATTTACTGATAAAACAAATGCGATTTTCACGAAATAATTTGATTTTTTCCGTCAGATGGCACCTTGGGGTCAGTGCTTCAAGTCTTGCTGTCTGTGACTAAGGCAGTGTTTGTATCAGTAAGATCTCGCAACAGACGTACCTGCGACGAGATTACGTGAAGTCGGGGTGGCTGTAAGGAGTTGTGTCAACAGCATCGTGACGGCGAGGTGTGCAAGGAGTTTGTACATAGGCATCGCTTCTGTTTCTCAAAATCTGGAAATACACATTGCAAAATCAAAGGAAGTGCGTGCTGCAAAGAGGTTAGTTCGAAAACGTTGTAAAATCAAACTGTTTTGTAATGGGAAGTTTTCACTGGATGCTGGATACGTTTGCAAGGTACTGTAGTTTTGAATGACGTAAGGGACCGTTCATAATTTATGGCTTGGGGTGGGGTGTGTTGATGATGGTTTTTATGGAGAAGCATGTACAATGTGAATGCCCCCTCAGATTTATGTACAAAATAAGTGACTCCCCTGCATGTCATGTACAAAATCAATGACACCCCCTCCCTCCCCATAATTTCTAAGCATAATTTTAAACATATTTTTATGCACAAAATTGATGACCCCCCTAGTACGTGTGTACACAATTGATGCCCCCTAGCTCGCTGGAACAAAATGGGTGACACCCCCAGCCCCCCTTAAAATCATCATCACCCCACACACACACCACACCGCACCACACACCCTAGCCTTAAATTATGAACGGTCCCTTAACTCAAACCACTCCTTCCACTTAACAGGGGGAAACTCTAAGCAATCCCAAGAATGACTAGGTACAGAATCGTTTGTTTCTGATTATGTAGGGGGTTGGGGGACCCTAGGGATTAAAACGTTTGTGAATAAAATTTATGGACAACAAATTTCCCAGTAAAGCCTGATGCGCATCAAGAGACCGAGTGGTGCCGAAGTGAGCCGAGCTTTGCCGACCGTCGGTCAGCAATGATCGGGAAGGCTCGACGGCTTGTGACAACCATCGGAGGAAGACTGACTGACTGACTGAGTTTGGTTTTACGCCGCTTTTAGCAATATTCCAGCAACATCACGGCGGAGGACACCAGAAATGGGCTTCACACATTGTACCCATGTGGGGATTCGAACCCGGGTCTTCGGCGTGACGAACCAACGCTTTAAGCACTGAGCTACCCCACCGCCCCCAGAGGAAGAAGGCTGGTGGTGGAAACATAAACTGGGATAAACAATTTTAACTTTCGATTTTGAAAACAGATTATTTTTGTTTATAACATTTGTACTCGATGTGAACAATTACGGTTTACAATATAAATCTTGACATTGATCCTTTCCAAATGCACAATCGTTAGTGTGCCATTGACGGTAGCGGCTGTTGTATATTGTTCAAAGCTTAAAAGACGGAAATATGCTTGAGCTTAAAATTTTGTTTGATTATGAAACGGAATATTTTGTTCGTTTCACCAAGAAATTCGGGGCGGTGGGGTAGCGTAGTGGTTAAAGCGTTCGTTCGTCACGCCGAAGATCCGGGTTCGATTCCCCTCATGGGTACAATATGTGAAGCCCATTTCTGGTGTCCCCCGCCGTGATATAGCTGGAATATTGCTAAATGCGGCGTAAAACAGAACTCACTCAGTCACACCAAGGAGTTCAGGCGGCTCAACGATTAAAAATCGGGATAATTTTAAATAACCTTTTTGAAGCGAAATTTTGAAGGCCGGGGCGATAAAAAACATAAAGAGAAACACACAAATACATGTAGACGGCCTATGTCGTGAAAAAAAACTTTACAATTCATCTGAAGTTGTTTTTAACAAACGAAATAACAATGCTATAAAACATGTCATGCAGTGAAGTGTTGAAGCCGCTACCTACCACAGACAACCACGGTGCCGTCAGCTGCCGCCTCGGATGCAGTGTGAACGGAAGAGGAGGCGCCTGAGTTGGGCACTTGTATATACATACAGCGCGTGCCACGTGGTGCGAGAACACGGAACCGGCGTCCATCAGTGACGTCACAGAACAATACCCGATCTGCAAAATATCCAAGGCTGGTTGAACTCATTGCAATTGCAAGTTCGACTTTAAATTTAACAACAATTTGTTCGTATTTACTGTAAATAATAACCTCCTGATTCCTGTCATGTTGTGTTAATGGCGGAAACCAAATGTCAAACAATTATGTTTTGTGTTTGAATCTGGCTGACATTTCTACACTATACTAATAACTAAATATACGTCCAGTGAGCTGTCAATCATTTTGATGAAGACAGATATGCTACAGAATGGTAGCCTCTATCACGTGGCCGATGTCTGTGGCAGCGCGGACATTGCATATAATGGTCCGAGACTTGGCCTCATTATTTTTCCAACAATTTGATTGTCTGTAGCATGTTTGTGCCTTACTACCTGATCAAATACATGTATAAAGCGACGTATAGCATTCTCCCGCTCTCAATCCCTCACTCACTCGAGTTTCTTTTGTATCAAGTTGTAGATGAATTTTAATTTCACCCGTCGATGATAGTTAACGTGAACTTTTTTTCGGCAGGAGTGATATAGTTGCCACAACAGTGTGGTTTTATTAACCAAATTCAATCTCCAGACTTTTTCAGTTGTAAACAAAAATCTATGTCTTGTGAGTGGAAAATATATTTACACAGTTTCAGCAGAGAAGGTAGTGATGTCATTTCATTGTGACGTCAAGTGATGACGTCAAAATGTTCTGAAAATGATCGTGGTAATCTGTTGAAGCAAAGTAGAATCACTGATAGCTTAAAATGTTTCGTGATATCTCTAAATCTTTGTAAAATATCAATACAACCATCATATCGTGCATCATGATATTCAAACATTATTCAAGCTATCCTTTATTCAATTGAAGATTTCTTGAAACAATATATACTTAAGAAATACAGTTCGCTCTACCACCATGTATAGTGTAATAAAGAACACTTTCCCTCTGAACTATTATAGTTAAAGCACGAGGACGCAATAAACGCACTATATATGTCCATAACACGTACAAGATATCTTTAAATTTAATACAAGATATCATCAATTCTGATCGTTACTGATATGCAATACAGATATCATCAATGATTTGGAAGATGTTTCTATATTAGTTGTTGATATCTGTAATATAAGTAAGTATCAGGAAAGAATGGCAAAGAAATTGTTATGGAGAGATCTGATTTGCAGATGTCGTCAACTAATTCCGGCACCATATCCGTAAATTCTTCCAGTGAAAGATGGGGAGTTTGCACAGAAAAGGTCAACAAAATGTCGTTTATCAGACACAGAGGAATGATTACTGTCAACAACCTGCTTCATTCTCCAGAAAAATGCGGCATGACCTTGCATGGCGTGGATTGCATTACGTCACCGGTCAAAAATTGTCTTTGGTGACGTACATTACATGTTTTTTTCTTTATAGTCTGTCAGTGTCAAAGCTATATGTACCTGAATTACCTGAACTTTGAGTTCAGCAAACATCGTGATTGTTGGTTAAACCTCAAACAGTACTACAGAACCAAACGTCCGGCTTCGTGGTGGTGGATATGTCAGTATGGAGGACACTACAGAGCAGACCCTGAGTGTCGGCCTTGTATTCCGACAGGGTAACGGGTTCTCGGCCCTAATTCCAGGCACCGAACTAGCACTAGTCCGCAATTCCCCTGATTATTGTTTCAATCATGTGTGTACTTGCGTGTGTGCGGATGGATGAACAATGGATGGCTATTTTTTTTAAATCAGACTGGTTATTTTTCTACGGGTCGCAGCGTGTACATGTTCCTACGCCCACTACACAGCTATGAGCCACTAGTATTCTCTGAATATACAATATGGCGCCAAACATGATGCCATCAATGAATGTGGTTGAGGTGACACTGAAACCACAGAGCTGTTTCATACGCCACACCTGCACTTGATGTTGGGGTTGTGTACACAATGTTCTGCTTTGGGATGGAGTCGGTATTTAACCAACGAATCAAATGATGGCCTGGTTCTAGTGAAAGTGAAGTCAGCTAGTATTTCAGCAAATGAATGCTTCCGTTACATCGTGCATACGGCAATATTTAACGCCGTGTGCAAAATTTGCTGCCCCCTGTGTGGTATCTGCTCTTGATCGACTTAGTTATACACTGTCACATGTGATTAAAATGTTGACCAATATGTACATTGTTACGGTTTAGAAACTACTGTGACAAAAGTCTTGACAGTCCCACTTAACACCCACCCCCACCCCAAAATAATTAACAAAATCACATCCTCATAACAACATACCTCACACACCAGTGTACATCAGCCCTTTATATTCGATGGAAAAGCTAGTGTATACAAGTTTTAACAATAACTGACACATATTTAACAGTTTCACATATATAGAGTCGTTGATGTATTGAGGCCAGTTCCAGATACCCTTTCAAACCATTCACAACCTCGACAGAGTTAACACATGTTTTGCAAACGCTTAGGAAGGTTTAACACAAAATGGTGGAACGCCCTCAAAGCTCTGTATACCATAATTTTACACGTGCTTTTGGACCAATGTCCCATAATTACGTTTTTCGCGTTTTGAAAAATGCGCGATTCATTCGAAGTTTTTGGACAGCTGCGTTGTTATCGGGACCATGCTGCGTTTTGGCGAATGTTTTCTGCTTGGGTTCAAACCTGTACCAGCGTTCTAGTTTTATATACAATTACTGTAATTGTGATAGCTTCCTTTTGCCCTGTAGTTCCGTTTATATTGTGGATCTAATCGTCAAGTGAATGATTACAGTTTATCGGCGCTTTAAGCAACACGCCCGCAACATTGACGACACAGGAATGCACTTCACACGTTGTACCGATGATGGGAGTCAAACCCGGGCCAAGGCGCGACAAGCCTCAACCCTCAAGGCTACTACCTCGCCTCCCTAATGACGTTCTAATCTTTGACATACAAAAAAAATTAATCTAAATTTATCAAACCTGTGTAGACACAGAAGGATTTAAACTCAGAGATTAGTGACATGTATCCAACATGCATGCACGTGCCACGTTCCGTGACGTCAGTGGGTTTGTCCTTGAGACGTGCAATACGTTGTTAAACGTGCATTCCGGGAAAGAGAAACAGAGCAAATGAATGCCACACAATACTGTCACTTTGGAAAGCTCAACCCCTGCCCTTGAGATCGTTCAAAAAATTAAACGGCTATTGAAACGCATAGCATGCCAAGGCTCACGTCTGCACAACGTCATGAGGCCATTGGGATGGTCCGTGGGGGAATGTCTCAACGACAAGTGGCTGCACTTTCCACTGCCACCGGAACACCATTTCTGCACTGGTGAGACGTTACCAGAACACAAATGACGTCATCGATCGACCACGTTCTGGACGTCCACGTGTAACAACGCCAAGACAGGACAGATGGATAAGGGTGACCCATCTTCGCCACGGGTTTCAGACTGCAGTGATGACTGCCCGAACCATCCCAGGACTTCGCCGTATCCACCCCAACACAGTTCGACAACGTTTACGTCATCACGGGATCAGACCACGTCGTCCCGCCATACGGCCTATCCTGACACAACGTCATCGACAAGCTCGCCGAATGTGGCGCCGAAATCATGTCCGCAGACCCTTGTTTTGGTGGAAAAATGTTGTTTTTACAGATGAGTCCAGGTTCAACATTTCCCATAGTGATGGACGTCAACGTGCCTATAGACGCGTGGGAGAACGTTATGCACAGGCCTGTGTCTTGGAGAGGAATCGCTTTGGTGGTTCCGTGATGATTTGGGGTGGAATAACAGCACGCCAAAGAAATCCTTTGGTGATTGTTCAGGGCAACTTAACTGGTGTGGGCTACAGGGATCAGATTCTTCGACCTGTGGCAATTCCTTTTCTGCAACGTCATGGCCCTGGGTTAACATTCCAACAGGACAATGCCCGCCCTCATACGGCAAGGGTTGCTATGGATTTCTTGCAACACCACAACGTTGACTTACTGCCTTGGCCTGCAAATTCACCGGATCTCTCCCCGATAGAGCATGTTTGGGACGAGATGGATCGACGTCTACGCCGCCTTCCTCATCCGCCAGATAACGTCCTTGACCTTGCAACAGAACTTGAGAGAATCTGGCGTGACATCCACAAGCCTTCCTTGCACGTTTGATAGGCTCTATGCGTCGTCGATGCACTGCTGTTCTCAATGCCGATGGTGGACATACCCGTTATTGAGCTTGTGACATGGTCGTTTGACCCCTGTCCCGCTTGTGGACTCGTGACGTCATTGTGATTGACTTTTCAATTGAAATTTTCCCGACTTGTTATGGTCTCATGATCCCTCCATTAAAGTTTATATGTACCTTTGACATTGTTATCGTACTTATCAACTGGGATAATATTTTGACAATGCACAGTTTCTTTATGTGGCTAGTATACTCTCTTAAGATTAATCCAATCTTTTTCTCTATTTACTTTTCCCGTGATTGTCATCTTCAAAGGACATTGCTCGCAATGTTGCGTGTGAGATGTGTGAGATTTCCATTCAGCCTTTTATAAGAGTAAAAACGGTGTAATAATTCACTCAATATGTCAGTTAAAGTTCATGCAGTGGGACTGAGTGACAGAGGACAAGAGCATCATCCAATGGTGGCAACACCAATCCGGACACCTGGTGACCGAGTCTCACGACACTGTCGCCGGACTGAGTGGGGGAGTGAGTTAACGTCGGTGGAACGGTGTCAGCCCGATCTGTCGACAAATGAAAACTAGGATGTTGCTAACCGTCGACAGAACAAAAAACCCGGAGGGTCGACATCGCGTGGTCAACATACCGTGACGGTTTTAATTAGTGAAAGAGAATGTTTGCTTAGTGATTTGCAAGTGACGTTTCATGAGTAAATGAATTACGTTAATTATTCACTCTGTTTTTAATTGGTTTGTTAATATCGAGAACACTGGGCGTGAAGTCACTCACGTAGAACATCATCTCCCTTTCCCCGGACTGTCGACAAGTAATTTGAACGGATTAT